ATTTTAATGAAAACCGTTTTTTGTGTAAAGATTCGAAAGAACGAAAAAAAGTATTAATACTTTTTGAATACCAAGTGTTTTATGTTAAATTAATCACCTAGCTGGTATAATTTATTAATTTAAGAACATTAAAACTGTTACCTATATACCTATACAATATAATAATATATCATATCATGTTTGAAGACATAAATCCTCGAAAGCTTAATTTAAAAAACTGTGATTAAAAATAGACAATTGGCTGGAGCGCGTATATTTACTATTTAGTAGGTACCTATTTTACGTACAATAATACATGCATATTTTTATACAATAATAAACGTCACATTATGGGTATGTACGTGCGTGGAGAACGTCAATGATCAGTAAATATGGGAAAACCTCGATCTCGGAACTGCATTACTTAGGTATGACGTATGAAATATGCTCTTATAGTCGTATAACATTCTCCGATCGAATGCAGTAGGTTAGTAGGTATATAACGAAAAATTACATTGGTAGGCATGCGATATGTCTCCTACCACATTATTATGAGTCACGACTAAAGCTGATTCATAATGTGRTTAATAATATTAAGAAACTCATTAGTGTTTGATTAGAGTTGCATACTTGTRCATAAGACTATTGCTGCGTACAGTTGTATGCTACGCGAGTAGAAGTGAGATGAACGTATGGTGCATACAGCATACCTAACATTCACCTATAAAGCGTGCCTACGGTATACCATAGATTTAACACGGACCACGAGCGCTGACCCAGAAAAACAATCTTTAAACATATGAGTAGGTATATATAAGTACTGTATTTCAGTAGTGGTAACACGATAGTCGGCGATTCAATAATTTTTACACGTACATAATCTAATCATAATTTTTGAACCGCGGTGCCTTTTACCTATAGTTGATATTTACCAATATATGGCTATAGACGCATAATTTCCTACATTGACCATTCAAWGTCTGTAAGGACGCACAATAGATATATAATTATTAATATCTATAGACATACGTCATAGTGGCGTTTCGGCGATAGGTCGTGTTTCAGTATTTGGATTATAAAAACATTTTCGCCGGCATGGAAAGGTGGAGCAACAGAGTGGCCATCGTGACTGGCGCAAGTAGCGGCATAGGGAAAGCCATTGCCGTAGCTCTGCTGAAATGCGGCATGGTCGTCGTCGGTATTGCCAGACGAGAAGATCTCTTGGAGGTGAGTAGAGGACGTTATAGCCGTATGTATTGCGTATTTTCCGTGATTCGTTACAAACGGATATATATATATATCAAATATTTGAGTCCTGTGACTCTTCTAATTTTGTGTTTTTAGCTTTAATATCAGAGTAAAATATAAAAATCATCAAATTAGAAGTTAAGAACATTTGGTTTTAAATTGTTATTTTTTTTAATGATATTTATATTCTATAGTATATACGTAAAATTAATACCTACTTAAAAATGCTCATAATTCACTTAAAAATTAAAATATTGTAAAACGCTGACGAAACAACACAAATAATGCTATTACATTAAAGTTTGATGATAAGCCACTCTATTATTTAAGTCAACAACGCAAAATTTAACTGATGAACGTAAATTTGTAGACGGTATGTTATACTTATACGGACGGAGACAACACCTGCAAGATGCTATAAAAAGTGATGAGCACTAGTGTCAACTGTTTAGCGCACTACTAAATAATAGAAATAATAGAATAGGTAATATTAAATTTGTAGTTCGTACCTATGCTATCGACTATCGAATAAATTCGTCAATCGATGATAATTAGATACAAACTATACAAATATAAACGTTCAAATCATTTGAATAGTAAATTTTCATTGACTAAATAGTAAAATATAGTAATATACTGATATGTAAGTATTAACTATCGATTATGCTTTAAACTCAATAGTTTTTATTTGAATAAATAATCGATAGTTTTGTTACAAATGACACAATTTATACTTTATATTGATAAAATAATAATAATAATATTGATTATAATAAGGCATTAAATAAAATATTTCTATAACAGCAAAAAAGAAAAATGCTCATCGATTACTTTAAATAAAACCAAACTAGGTACTTTTTCTAAGATGAGATGGGTTTACCATAAACAAATATTCTTAAATTCAAAAATGTATTAAAATAAGATCATGCGTAAATGATAATTGCAATTTTTTAATGTACCTATTATTGTAATTAGTACCTTAACATTGTTTTTTTTTTTTATCACCCGATGTTTTTCATAGAAACTAAGCGAAGAAGTTAATAGTTATAGAGGGAAGTTCTATTATAAATCAATTGATATTAGAAATGAGAAATATATAACCGAATGCATTCAGTGGACCGTAACCAAATGTGGAAGTATCGACGTGTTGATTAACAATGCTGGAGTCTATGATGAAACTGAACTATTTGGTAATATTTAAAAATTTATAAAATTACCATTTACGTCCATTAAACAATAGAAATTATATTTAGTAAATATTACATATAACATAAAATATATATTATATATAATATATAACATATAGATATACGTGAAAGGGCCTACTATAATAGATGGTGCATTACTTTTAATGCGAATTCCCAATTGGCGTATAGATAAATAGTCTATACTGGTAACTGGTATAGTATTAGAGTATATGATGACATACATATTAATAAATAATAATAAATAAACGTAATTACTGAAAGATGCTAATATCATAATCCCAATAAGTGTAGGTAGGCTGCAGGTAAGAAATAATTGTTTTGTAGTATTGCCACATACTGGGGATGAACTRTTTACACAATACTTAGAGAGGCGGTACCTAACTATAGTCATTAAGTATATAATTTTTGCAGTGGTGCAAAACCAAATCTAATATTTTGGGTTGTAGGAACATTATTGTATGGTCACCTAGAAAAAATTTAAACCACRAAGAGTTTTTACATTTCAGGTAGAAAAAAAATTATGCATATTACATAATTTTTAACACAGATAGGCAGTTAATAACAATAAATAATAATAATAATAGTTATTATAATAAAATCGTGCTTCGTGAATTTTCTTCAAATCCGGTTCGAACTTTTTTCCTAAGTTGCAGACAGAAGAACAATTTTCTACAATAGCTCGGCTTTTCAAATTGGTATTAGCGTAAGTTTTTTCAGCTTAAATGTTTATCACTCGAATCGTGGTTATAATCAGTCCATTTTGTAAATAATTCATACTATGATTAGTATGATTTATAAGTTATAACTCGTCGGTTCATACAGATTTGTATATAGTAATTTTACTCGTATAAGTCACTTTTGAACACATTTTTGGATTTAGTTTTGTAGTTTGGTTTGGTGGTGTATTTTAATGTATAGATAATGTTCTATTCGTCTATTGTGTCACTAAACGCGACACAATTCACGATCGCTGTCTAAAGTTTTGAGCAATTTGATATTATCTTATCTTGCAGTAAAATATATTTCACGGATTAGTTATATCGTACAAAGTGTCCACGATCGATTTTCACCAATTTATTTTCACCGTAAAAGTGTCCGCGGTAAGCAACTAACGTATTAAACAATAGTAGGTAGTAGGTACTATCTGTAAGACTATAGTCTATACTTAATACTATATACTTTTACAATATTAATACACGTCAAACGCATAAATATAAAAAAAATGTATGTTTTTACTTTTTTTATAATTAAGTTTTTCACGAAGTAAGATTGTAAGGTATTTGAGAGGACTAAGCCTAAATGTACAATATTATAATATTTTTACTTATTTGCTAAATTAATAAGCAGGACCTATGTGGCTATATACCTAATATTGTACAAAGTGTCCGTTTACTAATATTTTGTACTTTGAGAGGCGATGGAAAAAATACCTACATACCCGACAACAGACATTTAAAATACATCTAATAATTTAAAGAATGAAAATATTTAATTTATTGTCAATTTAAAAAAAAAAAAAACAGGGAAGTCACTTGGCTGCATAAAAGATTTCGAGCGTACATATCATACATACATRTAGGTCGTTAGACCATAACCATATGGCATATACTATATAACTACCTATATAATACCTATAATATGATCTGAGAGTAGATTGCCGTGTTAAATTGGAATTCAATATGATAAATCAATGCATACATAAACGGACATTAGGGAGTGCTTGAGCGAGGAAACTTTTAGGCCCACAAAAATAAAAATATATAGTTTTTCAGTTCTGTAGGATCGAAGTCTCCCACTCACATTGATATTAAAAATTTTAGCCTCCCTAAAATTGTAATGGATTTTCGTCTATGAATGCATGCGAAAACACGATTCTGAGCTCAGACACACGTCTCTCTATATAGTCTCTGGCCACACAYATGGAAATATCTTATGCCCCCCTGCACGGTCTARTTGAATAGTTAGGATTTCCAACAACGTTTCTTTAGAAGAACAAACTGGCTCTGATTTAAAATTTCATGTAGATGTAATGTATAAACATAATTAATATTATTTATATCATTGATTGCATAATACTAATATTAATCTCGAAAATAGTTGCAGTTAACTGATTTACTATTCCTTAAGGCTTAAGAGAACGCTACCGRCTACACACATATTTTATGTCCCCGTCTTGCAAGTGCGTAAAGTAGCAAATTTACGAATTTACAAGATCACGTTTAACTCCATTAGTTAAAAAATTAGATTAATTAGAGTAAATTGACCTATTATGAAACTTGATTTTAAGAACATTATTTGTATTTGTATGTGGTTTTTTACGATAACTTACAGGTTTTTAAGTAAGTTATGAGCATTTTTAATTTACGATTTTTTATATACGCATAACTTGCTACAAATTGAACTATCGTAAAAAACCCACATGCCAACATAGATAATGTTCTTAAAATAAATTTTTATAATATGTCAATTTACTCTAATTTTTAAACTAATGAAGTAAAACGTGATCTGCTAAGCGTTAATTCGCTATGATATGTACTTTCAAGATGGTGACATAAAATATGTGTGTAGCCGGTAGCCGTCCTCTTAAGGAATAGCAAATCAGACGCAACTACGACGTTTAAAATGGTTAAATTACTATTTTCGACATTAATATTAGTATTATACAATCAATGATATATATACACAAATAGTTGTGTAGCGTCCTCTTAAGGGTTAAATAACTTAGTTGTCAGATGAATATCGAGCAAACGATTTCAGGTGAATCGATGGACCATGGGAAAATGATCATGGAGACAAATTATCTGGCTGGATTTATTTTCACTAAAGAAGTTATAAACGTGATGAAGTTGAAGGGTATTGAGAATGGGCATATTATCAATATAAATAGGTAAATGGTTTTGGACTTATAAGTTTTTAAATTTTGTAAAAATAATAATTTCATTCAATAGATATTTATTAGCATATCTATAAGTTAGGRGTGGCCACTAACCTTAATTTTAGAAGCCTAAAATTTATGAAGCTGATTCAAAGTGAGTTACATTGTTATTTTGTTAACATATGTTAATAAAATGAAGACAAATTGTGTAACAAATAAAGGAACATTATTTTTTACACTACACAGAACATTTTTGTTCAGGTACACACTAAAGAATGAGATTTTACTTTTAAGAAATGCTTTTTATATTATATTAATTAATTTTACTCTTATCTTGGTGTCAAGAGCCACATGAGACTGAATCAAAAGTCAYAGGCGATAGCGAGCATCTTTGTGGCAATCTATGCTACCTATACGTAATACGTTATAAGTTAGGTTTTTCACCCTCAACATTGCACATTGAGAATRATAAAATTACCTATACATGCTTAACGATACAAATTACAATATTTGTTTATTCGCAATATTTAATAATAATAATCAATAACTTAAATAAAAGGTAAATTATAAGTATAATTATTTTTATTAAAGCAATTCTCTGTCTTCAGTTTTCAATTGATTTGATAATTCTTTTCAATATTAACAGTGATAAGTGGGCAATTAATTCTTGTGTCATTCAAGTCTGTAGCTAATTTTTTTATTCGTCTTATTATACAAATATATGGATTAAAATTATTTCTGATTTAGCGTGGCAGGCCATTATAGGGCTGAACCAATAAAAGCACTTATTCATAATGCCAGCAAACACTGTATAACATTAACAACGGAGAGTATTAGAAGAATGTTGGTTAACGAAGGAAGTAAAATTAAAATAACGGTATGCAAACAAAGTTAATAATCTTGTATTTGCTTAAGAGGATGTCAGCGCACTATTTYGTTTTCTCTCTTTTACCCACGCGTAACATGGACAAAACGCATTTACGCAGAATCATTTTTTCTATATCTAAGTAATTTTAGAGTAAAACCTTCCATTACAAAAAAGATAGAGAATAATATTTTTGAGCGAATGACATATCGATTTTATATTTTATTGATATTTGACTTTGTATTCGACTTTCAAAATAAATAAAAAATACTGTTCATTTGAATGTATGTTTAGACAAATCGATATGTCATTCACTCAAAAATATTATTCTCTATCTTTTTGGTAATGGAAGGTTTCACTCTAAAATTACTTAAAGATATAGAAAAAATCAGCGGCGTAGATACGATTTTTTCCTGGGGGGGGTTAAATATAGGTATTTATGATACAAATTACAAGTTATTAGTTAAATTAAACGTCATTTTTATTTTGTTTCAAATTGGTATTAATTCCATCATCGAAAAATGAAAAAAAAGATTACTTTAAAAATAATCAGTATCACAGAAGATAAAATACCAATATAAAAAGTTTTTTTGGTTGGGGGGGGKTTTGGAAACCCCTTAAACTCCTMCSKTAACTACGCCACTGGAAAAAATGATTCTGCGTGAATGCGTTTAGTCTATATTACGAGTGAGCCAAAAAGAAAAAACAAATACTGCGCTGACATCCTCTTAATGTTAATTGAGAATGAGTGTTATTTTACACTAATGTTGTATTGGGGGAAAATTTTCAAATTTACCATATTATTTTAACAGTGAACAAATTATATGTCGTTTACTAACGACCTACTCAATGGTTTGTTTTAGAGTTTAAGTCCAGGAGTGACTATTAAAGAATCGACAGAACTAGAATTGAAATCAATCCCTAATATGACATATCTAGAAACAGAAGATATTGTTAATGCCACACTCTACATTTTAGGAACACCACCAAATGTTCAAGTACCTAAATATATACATCTTAATAAATAAAATCTTATTTTTTATAAACTATTAGGTAAATTAATTTAAATTTACTTTTGTATCCCCATTATTTAGGTATGTGAATTGACAATCAGATCTGTTGGAGAAACCATGTATTAATATTTGAATAACATTTGTTTAATTGCAATAAAATATACAAAAACTTTAATTACCAAATTTTGTATAATTTCTACAATTTTATTTTATTTTTATTACATCATTTAAARAATTTTTCAACAATATTGTGGACTGAATTTTCAATTTAAATCTAATCTATTTTGAATCTCACTAAGTTTTTTTATATTTTATTATTATTAAATATTTAAATGAGTTATGCTTTTTAAATTGTACAATCATAGCACCCTCTTGATAATTTTGTTTGTTTTTAATGATAATTTGATACTTTGATGTGCTTATTATTTTTGTATTACTTATCTAATATTATATATGAATGCGTGCAATTTTTAATGAAGTATTTAATTTTAATTTTAATATGCCAACATCCATAAGCGTGCCCAAACATTACCAGTAGGACCGTCAAATATAACATCATATTAACACACACATACATATATAATACCTGTATTCTTATTCATCACTAAATTATTAAAAAATTAATTTATCTGATTTATTTTGAATGTACCTACTAAGATTATTGCTTGGATATTATRATGTTATTGAATATTAGGAGGGGAATGTTCGCAGAATATATTCAAGTGCCTACCCTGACTACACCGTGCAAACGTTTATGCCAACATCCAACAACATGTTGGATTACAATAAAAAATTAATTTCTTAAAATTAATTCWGTTTTTACTATTCTTAAAGATGCTAAATTTATATCAGTTTCACACAATAGTTAACTTAATCACTTTAAGTCAGATTTTGAAATTCTAGCTATAAAAGTTTTTATTTATGAAAACCTTTAAACTCAAATTAACACAACTCTATTTTAAATAAAAGTCAAACTTTAGATCCCAGTGTTCGGTTCAAGTTCATAAGTTGAACTCAATTTAAAAAAAAA